ATTTAATGCTAAGCAATCGAATTAATTTAAAAACACTAGGTAGAACTATAGACCTTATCTAAAAATTCTATTAACTCTAATGTTTTGTAATAATACAAAATTAGCATAACAAAACTAAACAGTACAATTACTGTTGCTACAGTATTAAAATATTCCATGTTTCATTTTAGCAAATAATGGAAATGTATGATCGATCCAAACCAATTAGTTACATCAATGGACCGACTCCTCAAACGCCTACAGCTGCTTTAAAAAGAGTCTAACAAATTAATAAGTCAACAGCATTTATTGTTTCAGACAATGTATAAATATTTTTTTTATATCTGCAAATATATATTATTTAACATTCAAGAAAAACCAAATCAACATATTTCATTCAAGGACGATATCCAAATGAATAATAAATACATATACATATACTAGTAGTTGGATAAAATATTGGTTTATTGTCTATAAATTGAAGTAGTTCCCTTGGTTAAATGATTTGGTCTGACCGAAAAAGAGATATTTCAATTATTGATTAGGATACCTGAATATTTAATTCAATTCAAAGAGGATTATAGAAACGAAAATGTTTTTAAACATAGTATCATGTGTCAGACTGGCATAAAATAAATAGACAGGGAAATGTCATAGAGTTTGTTATTGACTAAACATGTTTGTTACTGTAATTTGGATCTAGGAAATTAATCTTCCAACAAGAGATGATGCAGTAAAAGCATCAGTTTTATCTTTATGAGTGTGTGCTGACAGAAATCAGCATAAAAGTGTATTTTTATAAAGCTAGATTTAAAAAAAATGATTTGTACAGGTTTAATCGAAAATTATCGATGTACAATATATATTTTTTTAATGTCTTCACTTGATATATTTATAATTCAATATCAAATTCGGGGAAAACATTCTTTGTTATGTTAACAATGTATAAAACGGAAAGAGAGAGAGAGAAAGAGGGTCCTTCTAACATTAGATAATTATTTTGTGGTCACCCATAAATGTACAGCATACCCAATGCGTTTTTTGTGTTGTTCTGTTTTTCAGTATTTTTAAATGTAATTTTTTTAACACAAACTCCAGACCACCTGTGTGTACACAGTCATAGCAACTATCTATGATGCCAAAAGTCGAGCCTGAATTTTGATCCATCGTAGTGAAAGGCTAAAGAAAGTGTTGAAAAGTCGTTCGTATTGATATAATTGATTAATTAAAATTTTGTGTTTTCAAATACCCTATAAGTATCACTAAATAGCGTTTCATCGACGCTTGCTACAGGAGTAGTATAATACATTTTCCTTTTGTGTCAAGAGAGCAAAGTAAAATTTGCAGTCATTCTTTGACACAGTTTTATAAATGAAATATGCCTTTTCGGCCTTAAACATTCTGTGAAGGTTGAATTGGCAAAAATAATTCTTATTTATTTGCGAGTCTTAAGGTAAGGGTAAAAGTTTTCTTATTAAAAAATCCCTTTATTTTTGTGGAAAGGGTTCTTGGAGTTGATTGGGAAGGGAACGATTGGGGGGGGGGGATAAATAAAGATGGATTAATGACTACTGAAAAGATTTTTATATCTTTATTAACCCACCAACCCCTATTTTCCCTTCCAAATCTATTCCAAGAACCCTTTCCACAAAAACACGGGGTTAAAATAAAGGAACAAGCTAAGTCACATTAACGACTATGACATTGACTTGTATTGACTTGTATTGACAGAAAATGAGTGAATTATATTATCTTATCATGACAATTTATAGGTAGTAAGTGCTTGAAATGTCAATCACCGTGCTGTGGCAATGTGTGGGTGTTTTTGAATCAATTGCTAAGCTTTCGGAAGTTTTGTTTTTATAAATGGATATGAAATAACAAACAATTACTGCATGATTTTTTATTATTTTAAAGGTTACAATACAATCCGAATTAAATGTTCCCATTAAAATGGATATTCAAACCCGTATGTAAAATTTATTTAAAGTGAATGGGCTAACCACAAATGATGTGTGTGTGGGAGACCTGGGCTAAATTGTTCATAGATTTTTAGGAAATTCACTTTTTCTAAAATTGCGATATGTGGATATTACAAACCCTTTTTTATTTTGGTCTTATGATTGAAAATCTTGATATTAACAGGACTTTGTAAGTATAGAACTAAATGTACATTTAAATGAAATTCTGTTCAGTGTTTAACGAGGGTTGGCCTAGAAAAACGTGACCAATTTATATATTTTTTTTCTTCTTATATTATAAAGTTGAAAGTTGACATGCACCATTTAATCAACATTCAATTTTAGCATCTTGTGACTGGTCATAAACATAATTACTTAAAAATCAATCTGATACATCACATAGTATTACGTAATCTAACAACCAAGCTGTATGATAAACGTGATGACTTTAACTTTTCTATCGTCAACTCCCCTTACTTCCCCTTACATCAATATACCTTCATTACCTGCATACGGAGTGTATATATCTCAGTTGATTCGATACGCAAGAATATGCTCTACGTATGAACAATTTCTGAAACGAGGTAAATTATTTACAAGCAAGTTTATGAAACAAGAATATCAACAGTCTCGTTTAAAGTCATCATTTCATAAGTTCTATGGTCAATACGATGACCTTTTCAACAAATATAATTATTATATCATTAAGTCAAATGCTGACTGACGTCTTTCATATAATGTTAGTCCATTATTTATATATTGAATTGGATTTTCTCGTTATTTCCCGATCATGACAAGGAGCACACGGCGGGTGTGACCGGTCAGCAGGGGATGCTCACTCCCCCATGACACCTGATCCCAACTCTGATGTATCGGAGGTCCGTGTTTGCTCTGCCCCTATTTTATATTGTTTTAGGGACTTTGATGTTGAATACTGTTCGTTATCTTCATATCTTTCTCCTGAAGTTGTGATTAAAAGATGCTGAAATTTCTATATAATAATATTTGTGTAGTTCGGAGACCAGATCTTCCAACAGACTACTAGAATTTAGGTGTGTACTAATGTGCTTGTCATAACATGGCCTGTTTTTATATTCCTATAAAGTAGATATTATTCAAAAACATAAGAAGAGGAATATACATGTAGTTGCCATTGTCTTCAAATCTGAAATCAGATATATTGTACGTTTTTCAATTAACAATTGTTTCCTCCATTTAAAATCGACTTACTATACCCCAGGGTACTTAGAATCTAAAACACATTGATGAGGTATGCCATATCTGTTTAATATTTGGATGTTTTACTGATCATAGACATCTGAATTATCAAAGGATATATGACGTCAAATTTTCAATGATATAAGTCTCTTATTATAGCTTTAGTAATATTACACTATCACCTACATATGGTCTTAAGGCCTCCCAACTTATTCGATACACAAGAGCATGCTCTGATCTCAATAAAGTCAACTTTTAAATAGATATAGATCACAGACAAAAAAGTTGATGTTACGGGGGGGTTAACTACTTTTTTAAAAAGTCAACATTTCAGAAATTCTATTATTGTTAACCTAATGAAGTATATGGAGATAACAGTCAGTATTCAATATCAAAGTCCGTAAAACAATACACATTAGGAGCGGAGCAAACACGGACCTCCAAAATATCAGAGGTGGGATCAGTATAATTGTACGAATAAATAAGGTCTGACTATTGGGTTGATAATTTTGTCAAAATACAACCCCAAGATAGGTTAACAAAGGATTATATCTACAAGATCAGTATCTAAAGCTCACAGCGGGATTAGTCGATTTACATAGGGAGTTTACTCTTCCTAAGTATATGATCTTACAATGAAGCGCATTGAAGTGGTAAAATTTTCCGTTTGGATGAAACGTTCTGAGTCATGTTTTGAACGTCAATTATAACATAATGACACGCCGGAGTCAGATAAGATGTGGGTCACGTCTTTTTTCGATATAGGTAAAGTGAATTTACAAAAAATAAATAGCCCACGGAAGGTAGCAATAGTTAAGCTTTGTCTTGGTCATTAGCCATAGAAAAAAAAAATCTTGTAGAAACTTCAAATTATAAAGGAATTAACCCAACATCAATTTATAGGTATCTACGAGTAAATAAAAAGGTATTTGCATGCAGTGTCAGGGAAGACAGCAATATGAAAATACATAAAAACAACACCAAGTATGTATTGACTTTATTTTGCGACTCCCCTATGCGTTGTTTTTTTCCAGAAACGACTCCCCCGTACGTCACTCTTACTGTCTGAAGAGAAAATGTCTTAATTATTAATTTTTATAAAGTCTAGACAAGTTTTAATTGTTGCATTTAAAAGATTAAGGTTTGCTTTTGCTGTTTTAACTGTCATAATCCCTACACAAATCGTAGATTGTGCAAATAAGGCATGTTTTCACAACTCGATCAACGTAAATATGAAATCTGTCGAATAGTTCCGAAGTGTTTGAGAAAACTAGACGTATATGCTAGGCAGACAAATGACCAAGACAAAGCTTAACTATTGCTACCTTCCGTGGGCTATTTAATTTTTGTAAATACATCTTACATATACCAAAAAAGACGTGATCCACATCTAGTCTGACTCCGAAGCGGTGAAAATCTACTCCCCCATACGTTGAAAACGACTCCCCCACACTTTTTAGCGACTCCCCCGCGTTACCCGTTGTATACGGTGGCTCAAAACGTTCCAGTCACACGGAAAATTTTACCACTTCAATGCGCTTCATTGTACCTGAAGAATCACTAGGATCCGAGTTCTAAAATTTGTTTCTTACAGACATTTGTAGACTAATCACTGTTCACTAACTTCATCTGTTCAATTTGTCGCCATACTGTATATTTCGCGCTGCGGATATTTTAAAAATATGTATCTATGCTTAACTGTGAAATTTTCATCTTATATATATATATATATATATATATATATATATATATATATATATATATATATATATATATATATATATATATATATATACATGTATGTCTATTGTATTTTTGAAAAATGAAGAAATGTGCGAAAAATAACATTTGAGGTTCAATTTTCGTTGATCTGTACATTTTATTCACAAACAATGTAATATGCAGTGTTAAAACAAACAATGAAAAGACAAAATTGATAATAAAAAAAACAATATAAAGTTAGGGGATATTGAATATTGGTTCTGATCCATAATATCCTGATGCGACTTTGTCTCTGATCTCTTTTCTCATTTGAAGTATTTCCGGTGCAAGTGGACCAGCAGGGAGAGGTTTTTTGGTGGCTCGGTAATCTTTGATCGGCGAAGGTTTGAATTTTTCACCAACCGGAAGTGGTAAATATTGCGCGAGGTCTCCATATTCCCTATACAGAGACGATGACGTATCGGGGCCTCTGATTGAGGTTGTCCTGTCACGTGATGAGGGAATCCTCGAAGAGGCGGTTCTCCGTCCGTCAAGTCTGTTCAAATCTGCATAAGAATATCAATATTATATATCAAATTTATAACAATAGATATAAATTTCTTGACATACATCTTACTGAATACATTGTTTGATGCACTAATTTTACTTTGACATATGAAAGTCGATTATTTAAATTGTGTAAAATGTTAAAGGAATATTCAGTAAAAAAATCTTGAAAGTAGATCAGCATTACCTCGCATTAAAGAGTTTGCCATCCGTCTTCTTGATGAAGCGCGTCGAAGGCCATTCAAATCTGTTTTTAAAAAACACATCAATTGTGATTTAAATTATCCATCAAATTGGTGACACATTTTACTTATGTTATGTTACCTTTAAATATTGTTTCCAAGTTACGCAAAAAAAAGTATGAAACATTGGACTACATTTGTATGTATTTAGTCTGTGTCCATCTGTTTGTACACCAGTTACACAAATACTAATGCTTCAGCGTGTATCATTTTGGAAGTTACATATGTTACAGTGTATCTTTCTTTCAAACCTTTGCAATGAAATTCATATTACAATTTACATATGTTCAAATCCCTTTGATTTGCATAAACGTAATCGATATTCAGGTGAGAAGGTCGAAATCAAGTTCAGAAATTCATATAATGAAAAAAATGGTTTCCATCTGATAAGATTTTACAAGAAAATTTTGTTTACAACTACTCCCCTCAATATGACTTTAAAAAGACTTTCACTGATTTTTAGTAAAAAAAAAAATCAGAGACAGAACTTACGTTGTTGCATAAAACGGTTTCTAAATTATAACATTCTTTCGATCTCATTGAGCAAAATGAACTTGTTTAATTAAAGAAGCACTATTGACGTTAAGGCCAAAAGTCAATATCCTTTCTTATTGTCTTTCTTCACCTAAAATTTTGTTTTAAGCTCTGAATTATCTTTTTACTAGTAGTAGAAGTAGTAGTAAAAGTAGTAGCAGCAGTAAAAAGTAAGTTTTCAACTTAAGTGTATAACATGCATTGGCATGTAAGATAGAAATGTAGGACGATACTAACCTGAATTAAACCTCGATCTACCAAGGGGACCTCTATAATCAGACCAAATGTTGGATAAACTTTGCGGCCTGGTGTTTCCGTTGGATAGGACGTCATCATATATATTTGTAGACGCCCGACCACTCAGAGTTTTCCTAGGGCCAGATGTGGAGGAACCTGATGGGTATCTGTACTTTAGGCGGAGTCCGGAGACACACCCCACCAATACCAATCTAAAAATAGATTATTTTTAATTCACTTGATATTTAATGATATATATGAGGAGAAAACGAACAGTAAGCAGGCCCAACAGTCCATTAAACAATGCAAAATTGGAGCATAGCAAATATGGACCTCCAAAACACCAAAGGTGGGATCAGTTGCCGACCCACGGGAATCCCAACAGATTGTTGGAAGACATAGTCTCCAAAAACTATATACGAGGGTCGTTAGAAAAGTTCGCGGACACATTGAATTACGGAAAATCTATTGTGTACTGTGAAGTATAACCTATGTCTGAATAAATTCCTATATTTTGTTTATTGGTATGTAAAAATCAGGTCCATATTATAAAATCTTGAATATTTACAACGATTTTTACTATGAGGTCATGGAATTCACGGAGCAATCACGAGACGTAAGGCGACGTGACAACCAGATTTTAACCCGTTAAGATTTGCCGCAGTTCTATAAATCTTTCATTTCTTCAGATATTTCTTATCTTTTTCCACTGTAAAATTAAATATCTATATCAAGACATGTTACTTTTCTTCTATAATGTCTTTTGTACTGATTCGGATATTACTGAGATCTTTAAAAAAGCCTATGCGGTTAATCGATCAGGTATGGAAACTATGCAAAACCATATAGGCGCAACACAACGTCCATGCGATACGGGGGTATTGAAGTATCGATGGAGTTAATCATTCAAAATGTTAATCCTTCCATTCTTTTGAAGCTACAACCATTTGAAAACTTGTCCTTTGTATGTGTAGGAAATTCCCGGCAGCATCTTGAACATTTTAATCTCTTTTTAGACATTTTCCAGTCGGCATACACAATTTTTACGTAGTGCAGTGCTCCATGACGCTCAATGACGTTCCGAAATTTGGCTGTGTTTTTGCGCGTTGATCATTTATAAACGGCTATAAAACAGTCATATACCCTCCAATTTAGTTCAAAATTTCTCTCAGTGACGTTTCATGAATACTTTAGCGGCAGGTAAAATATCATAAATCTCTTTGCACTACAATTGTGCAATTTTTAATTTTAAAAAAGACCCTTTGTGATGTAAACGTGCTAAAATGTAGCACGCTCCGTGAAGCAAGTTTTATCAAAATAAAAAAGCTGTATATTTTTCAATAATCACCGAAGAGCACCAAATTCTTGTATATTTATTGGAAAAAAGGAAAAGATTTTATCTGGAAAGTTTGACCGGTTTCGTTGAAATAGCGCGCTCACAATAGAACTTGTCCGCGAACTTTTCTAACACCCCTCGTACTCGCAGATACTGTAAATCAGAAACTCAAGCATTTTTAATATCAACTTCAGAGTACTTGTGTGTACGATCTGAATGTTTTTTTTTACAAAATAATTTTGCAGATGACCAATGACAAGGTAAGTGAATTTATGAAATCCATTTTTTAAAAAAGAAGATGTCAATGATATAAAATAAGACTGGACTTTAATTTATCGTGGGAAATGATTGTTTACAAAGTTGAAAAGTCGTAAGTTTTTATGCTGTTGATTTTGGTAAATTTTGTGATTTACTTGGATTTTTTAAGTATCCACATTTGATTTACACCACTTCTCCAATATTTTGTTACACAGTACTCCTGAAGTTTGTCCTTCATTACTGTTAATATTTCAGTGAGGATTAACGGGAAGGGGCTCTATAGAACATTTACCAGAAGCCGCTAATGCATCTTTGTTTGTAGGGATTTTTGTGAAGTTTTGGAATTTTGAATCCATCAAGGATATAACTTTTAAAAATTCATTCTGGCCGGCAGGAATATTAAAAATATTCAAAACTTAAAACAATTTACTGTAAAACTATTCCTCTATAGATAAATAGATTAATAGAACTTTCTTACTTTTAAAAAAAAAAGTGCTGGTAAAGACGCGCAATACTAAAAATAATTGAAATCGGGAGTAGAAAGCAATTATTTTAAAAATGTATTAAGTTTAATAAATAATATATCTACAAATAAATTTACGCCATAGCGATGTACAATCATATATTAAAAAATAAGTTTAAACCATTATTAACATTAGTAGTTATCACAAATAATTGCAACTAAAACAAAATGAGTCTGATTTTAAAATGTTTATTTTATGAATTGTGGATATCTGAAAAATTTTCTGTATCCCAGTTATGCAAATGATAGACTAATAGCAGCGATTTACAAACAAACGTACTTCTTACGCAATGTTGACTTTCCACAGGGGGTAGGGGGTCTCTCAGTGCAACATATTTTACTGAGTCTGACACTCCTGTTTCATACTTGGATATGTTAATTGAAAAAGACGTTAATGGTAATGTAACAAGCAAGCTGTATGATAAACGTGATGACTAACTTTTCTATCGTAAACTTCCCTTACTTATGCAGCAATATACTTTCATCAACTTCTGTTTCATACTTGGATATGTTAATTGAAAAAGACGTTAATGGTAATGTAACAAGCAAGCTGTATGATAAACGTGATGACTAACTTTTCTATCGTAAACTTCCCTTACTTATGCAGCAATATACTTTCATCAACATCATACGGAGTGATATATCTCAGTTGATTCGATATGCAAGAGAATGCTCTACGTATGAACACTTTTTAAAACAGGTAAATTGTTGACAAACAAGTTGCTAAAACAAGAATATTAGCAGTCTCGTTGAAAATTATCATTTCGTAAGTTCTGTGGTCGATACAATGGCCTTGTCAGCAAATACAGTTTATCATTGAGTCAAATGCTGACTGACGTCTTTCATACTAATTGTTAGTCCATTATTTATACACTGAATTCACGACGGATTTTTCCGTTACTTTCCGATCATGAAAAGGAGCACACGGCGGATGTGACCAGTCGGCAGGGGATGCTCACTCCTCCATGGCACCTGATTTCACCTTTGATGTTTTGGAGGTCCCTTTTTGCTCTGCTCCTGTTTTGTATTGTTTTATGGACTTTGATATTGAATACTGTTCGTTATCTCCATATCCTCCACTGGAAGATCAGTTAATAGCATACATACGAATTTCCAAGATGTTTTTAAATAATTAAAGGACAACTCTCTCTCTCTCTCTCTCTCTCTCTCTCTCTCTCTCTCTCTCTCTCTCTCTCTCTCTCTCTCTCTCTCTCTCTCTCTCTCTCTCTCTCTCTCTCTCTCGTTATGTTGATAATAAGTATAATCTCTGCATATCAGCTCAAATGATTTTTGCAAATGGCTGAAACTTTCAACCGAAGATGACTTTTAATGACATTTGATTCCAAATTTCAAACTGGCCTGTGCAATATTTGTTCTTAAAATTATCTCTTTAAGAACCATGTCATTGTTTAGGTATTGATTCTCTTTCATCTCACTAAAAGCATTTAACGAAAATCTGGTCATCCAAACACACTTTAGCATAAAATATTAAATGCGTTTCCCTAATCAAACTTGAAATAATTGGCGAAAAATAGTCGATTTTGGTAGTAAATAACAGTGTTAATATTGATCAAAACTTACTTTTCGTGATCGCTAGAATGGAAAATTTTTTCGTAATTGGCACTTGTATAAAAAGTTTCATGTCTGTATTCTGCAATTTAATAACTGTTATATACTGACGTTTTTCACTTGCATTTCATCAGTTTTTAAAGGACCGAGACCAATCTTGTATAAACCAAAAAAAAAAAAGAATTCCCTCTCTTAATGCAGTTAAGTACTAGTAATAGTATGTAAATAAAACCATAGACTCAGTGAAAACTCGGTGAAGTACAGAGGGGAAAAGTTATAACTTAAAGAAGTACTTACACAAGACAAGTTAAAGTGTTAATCCGCATGGTGCTCTGAGAGCCTCAAAGCCAAGTTTCATGAGTTATATGGGGGGTTGGGATAGGTTGATAGATGGGGATTCTACTTAAATAATACGTCAAGATACGAACTGATGAGGTTTTGAAAAAAAACGCCTCAAACTCTTTCCGTGTGGAAACGCGGTGGATCAGATGGAACAAAACGTTTCAAAACTTTCATGCAGATTAATATATCAATTTTGATTGATCTGCGTTGTTTACCGAGTAATCCACAAACACAATTCTAGAAAAAAAATACTCATTGTAATTTGAATGTTATAAATAAGGTCACATTTGCGTAGTTTGTTTCCTGATTCATTGTTATACACTTTTCAAGGATATTTGAAGTATTAGAGCCTTAAACGCATCGTGCAACACATACTGAATACAGCCATGTCTTTAAGAACAATAATGTGGGTTTTTTTTTTTTTAATAAATTATTTATCTTTTTATTCCTCTTAAGTTTTCTTCTTCTTTCAACTCAAGTTGCACAGGACACTTACCTACTAGTTATGTTCATAAAGTTGAAAATAAAGACCTTAAAGCAATCATGAGCCCCGATCTTAATTGACTACAGAGCTTTTCTAACTATGAATTCTGCCGCAGATTATACCAAACGTTGGGCGCAATATAACACAAACCTTACATGTCAGAATGGATGAAGTGATTTTGAAAAATATATATATTGTGTAACACTAGATGCAACCTGTATATGAAATACTATAAACCAATGTTAAAAAGTTCCGATCAAATCCTGTGAAGCCCTATTTGATCACGCAACCTGGAGTTTTTAACATTGGAACAACATTGTTGTTTATTACTTATATTTATATTTGAAATGAATACATTTCGGTATATACTACACCCTTGACTGTGCAATACAGTTGTTTGGTCAAAATATCACATCTCTCTGTGATCCGGTCGCGCGATGACCCCCGATGAAATTCACACAGAATTGAATTAGGTTATATAGTATTTGCAAAGCACTGTATGCACTTACCTTTGAAAAACAGTGTAACAGCAGACAGAAAGACAAACAGACAAGACAAAAACAACATACCCCTGCGGGATCTTTCGATCCGCGGGGGCATAACAAATCGTAATTGAAAATTGAAATGTAAAATGCCAACCATATATCCTTCCGTTTTAACTCGAAAGTGATGAAAGAGTTAAGGAGACCGTGTGAACAATAAATTACTGTATATCATGGTTCCAGGACATAATATCGTTTTCGTTTGTAAGGCTCATTATTAAAACTTTATTTTGGAAGAAATTGCTTTAAATCTACTTCTGGAAATCCAACTTATACTCACAGTTCTTTTTCTAAGTCAGACAACACATTTAAGTGTTTATTACTTTTGATATACATGCCAACCAAGGTGTGTTCGATCTACTCAACCTGTACTGGATTCCTATGCTTCATAAAAATTCTTGCAAGTAAGATACATTGCTTTATCCAGTGTATGCTCTATCGATGTTCTATCTTTACCCCTTGCAAAAATATTAACTGTTGTAGAAGAGAAACTTCAGCAGATTCTAGAAGTGGTGTAAATGAGATGTAAATCCTCAAAGACTCTAAAGAACTTCAAGAAACTTCAAAATCACCATTTTTTTCAAAAGTCTATAAAATAAAAAGATTTGACTTTTCTAAACTTTGTACACATACATGTATCCTTGTGATAAATTAAAATCTAGACTTTTTCATATCAGTACCTGCCTGTTCAGTAGAAATGGAACTCAGAAATTTTCAAATCTTGTGCTTGGTCGTCACCAAATTACTTTGCTAAAACATTCTAATTATACGCACACGTACTCTGAAGTTGATATTAACAGAATGATGGAGTCAGCAACATTAATGTCGTCCGTCCGTCTGTTATGCTTCGATTACCCATATCTTATTCCCAACCCTTCTTTTACCACAGAATGAAATTTATTGAGACGTTCAAAGGATCTTTGTTACATTGTACCATTGTGCACCTTTTATCTTACTTTTTGATCGGACGCACAGTTTGGGTTTCCCTGAGCAAAACATGAGCACGCCCGTTTTTTTCTATGATATTGAAGGATACCCATCGCCTATCTGCAACTCCTCCTCTATCACTGAATAAAATTTATTGGTTCTTTCACAGATTCTCTATAACATAATACCATTGTGCACCTCTTATTTTACTTTTTGATCTGACACTTATTTCGGGTTTCCAAGTTAAAAAATGGACTTTGCCATTCTAACCATATGGGAAGCGGCCGGGTGTCATTTAATGAGCTTATTGCTCACAGTACCTCTAGTTTCATACAAATTGTTTGGTCTTTGTTTCTACACTGGATCTGACAACGGAATGTTCCGTCTACTTGGTCAATACGCAGGGCTCACGGCGGGTGTGTCCGGTCAACAGGGTATGCTTATTTCTCCTGGGCACCTGATACCACACCTGGAATCTCCAAGGATCTGTATTTAATAATCTCTTGACATGTATTTGTATTGTAAATAGATTATTAATAGGTCGATCACTGTTTCTTACCTTCACCTCTTACATTTAAAAAAGTAGGCTATCAAAGAATGTGTCTTGCGATAATAACAAGAAAATCTGTAATTTATCTTCACGAACAAATTTAATTGAGCTGGTTTAATTCGAAGAAAAAAAAGTAATTGATTGTGACAAATTTGTAATAAAACATCGATATCCCTCAGTGATTGTCCCACTTTTAAGACGTTGACCGGCTTTAGCACTCAATAACAATACAATGCTATGTCCATATACTTACATAATGAAATAATATAGTCATTGTCATTGCGGTCCAGAGTAATCGTCAATTTTGTTAAAAAATAAGGTATCATTTTTAAACATCTATCGGGACATATTTACATTTGGAAATGTTTCCCTTTATGTAACACTACTGAAAGCAATGCGTATCTATAAATGTATAAATACAGGTTCCTCGAACTTCATAAACGTTCGACGCAATTTCTCTGTGACGTTATAAAGGCTCGACGCGCAATCAACGGATTACAAGCATGCCGTTGGGTTTGAAAAATAAAACATTTCACGCGTTTAAAGTCATAATTAGGCAAATATTAAATATGAATAAGTCCCAAATGTAAATATAAGTAATGAGTATCATTTTAAAAATCTATCGGGTTATAAATACGGGTTGGTACGAGATCAAATTCACCATTTTTTAAAAATCCACTGAACGCACGTCGACCCTTTATGACGTTACTGAAAATTACGTCGAACGTTTATGACGTTCGAGGAACCTGTATTTATACGGTTATAGATACGCATTGCTTTCAGTAGTGTTATTTAAGCAATGAATCATTATTTTTTGAAAGATATAGTCTCATAACTGCAACGGTGTGTGCAAACAAATTGAGTAACGCGCTTCAAATGAATACAAATAACGGGGCGCAGTTGCCTCCCCCTGGGAATTCCAATAGATTGTTGATAGACCAGGTCTCCAAAAACAACACAGAGATATTGTCAATCAGAAACTCAAGCATCTTTTTGTTGTCGTCATCAGAGTACTTGTGTGTACAATCAGAATGCTTTTTAACAAAATAATTTTGCAAATGACCACAGACAATTTACGAGTTCCATTTTTATTGAAAAAGCAGCTGTCAATGATATCAAAAGCATGGACTCTACTTTACCGTGGGAAATGCTGTGTATAAAGTTGAAAATTCGTACGTTTTTAAGCTGCTAATTTGGAAAAATCTTGTAATTTCAAATTGTCCAAAAATTCTTTGGAATTTTTAATTATCCACATCTGATTTTCACCACTTCTTAAATATATTGTTGCACAGTACTCTTGAAGTTTCTCCTTCAGTGCTGTTAATATCTTAGTGAGGAGTAAAGAAAAAGGCTTAGTTGAGCATTTAATGGAATCCGCTGTATATCTTTGTTTGTAAGGATTCTTCTAAAGTTTCGGAATCCAGTTTATAAATGGTAGTTCATAATCATTTTGGTTCTTTGGGATAATAAAACTATTCAAAACTGACATATGACTGTGAAGAATTTTCTCCTTAGAAAGGGAACTATGAGTATAAGTTGGATTACCACTTGTAGAATTAAATGCAAGTTCTTTTAAAATACAATTTATATTATGAGCCTTACAAAGACAAAGTTGTTACCTGCTTTGTCAGCGGGGTTCAGTGCGTACTGATCATGTAGTCTATCTAGTGAATTCCCTCCCTCCCAAATGAAAATAATTCACTCAAACAAAATCTTAATCTATCCAGGGACGTATACTCTTTCGTTAGTATTTAGGTTCATGATCTGTCACAAAAATAAAAGTGTTCGTCTATGCAAGGGTGTTTTTATAATTATGCATGTCTATCCTTCATAATGTCCTTTCTGACATAATTCATTTTATCAAATAAATTCTGCAATATGTAGTCATATTGCAGAATTTATTTGATAAAATGAATTATGTCAGAAAGGACAATAAGAATCTGCCTGAGGGTTACCTACTGGTCAGATTTCCGTATAAAATCAGTTGTTGACAAAAGTACAAACAAATGTGTACTCTAAACCGTACCACTATGCACTTGTACAATTAATGTAAATTAATTATCTAATTATTCTTACTAATTATCAATCTTACATATCCTTCACAGCCAACTGCTCTTTGCTACATTTTATAAAATAGATAAATGGTACCATTACGGGATTTCCCCGTATGTTTTTCATCGATTCATCAATCTCTGTTTATTTTATTCAATTAATGTTAATGGTTGAATTACGACATCTGTAATTAAAATTTTTTAAAGCCGTTGAAATTTTAAGATTAATGAAATACCGAGATACTTGCCTACCGGTTCTATGTTGTTTTTTTTAGTTTGTTTGTTTGTTTGTCTTGTTTTGTTTTTTGTTTTTTCACCGTGGTGCTGTACAGCCGAATCCCACCTGGGTTCTACCACCTTCACAAAATCACCTTTAAAATAATATAGCATTTTATTCCCGCTAAAATATTAACACAAGTAAAGAAGAAACTTCAGATGTACTGTGCAACAATATACATGTATTCGAGAAGCGGTGTAAATCAGACGTGAATAT